CCACTCGGCGGGGTCGCAGCTGCCTCTGGAAGGCACCGAGAGGGGAATTTTTCACGCAATGGTCAAATCAAGGTTTTGTAACGCGAGCTGTGCCACAGTGAAATGGCACTAGCCTGAGGGTCCGCCTCCCTGCAGCGCGTGCAGGTCGACCGACCCAGATATTAAAGAATAAAAAACCCACCTTCCAGCCCAACACAGCGGAAAAGAAACCCGCGCAGGCCGGAGAAGCACACCCGCTTTCTCTCTAGTAGACCTCGCCGTAGTGTGTGTCGTTCGTCGCTGCACGCCCCCCTGCGCCCGAGCGTCGTCTGTCCACGCAGCGCTGCGCCGCGCCCGAGCACGCATTCCGCCCACCCGCCAAAAGTCGATCTCACTCTCGTCTCTACTTATGCACGCGTTAGCGAGCCCGAGCCGCATCGCGCAGGCTGCGGAAGATCTTCATGTTGTGGCACAGGTGCGGGCTCGCGACGATGATGAAGCGCTGCTTTGCGCGCGAGATGCCCACGCACTGGCGGCGCTCGTCCCGAAGGAAGGAGGGGCGGCTGCCGTCGACGACGGCGCTCAGCACGACGGCGTCGAACTCCTGCCCCTGGGCCGCGTCGACGGAGAGCACGCTGATCTCCTCCGCCGTGCTCTCCCCGCCAAACTGCTCGAGGTACTCGCTGATCAGCTTGAACTGCTGCTTGTAGAAGGTGATCGCCGCGACGCTCCAATTCGGATGCTCGCGCTTCAGCCGCAGCGCGTGCATCACTGCCGCCTCGGCCTCCTCCTCATTGAAAAGGCTCTTGCTGCGGCCATTCGACTTGGCCTCGCCGTCGATCGGGTCGAAGACAATGCACGGGCCGCCCATCCGGTTGGTCTCTATCGCCTTCGACTCCGCCGTCACGAGCTGCCCGTCGTAGAAGGCGTCGCTCACCACGCGGCAGAGCGAGGGCGGCATGCGGTACTGCGTCGTGAGCATGTGACCGCCGACCTTGCTCACGGCGCGCTCGAGCAGCGAAGCGTTCCGCACCGACTTGTCGAGGCGGCTGAAGGGCGGCAGCTGCTTCTCGTCGCCGACGAGCACCGCGCGGCCGAAGCAAGAACCCGAGTCGCGGTACGGCAGCAGTGGCACAATCGAGCGGTCGGGGCACGTGCCCGCCTCGTCAACTACCAGCGCATTGGCCGCCTTCATGTACTTGGCCACGTTCTCATCGGCCGAGTTGACCTGCGGCCCGACTGTCGCCGCCGTGCACAGCATCACGCTCGCGTCGCGCGCGATCTCCTCCTTCACCTGATCAAAGAGCTGTGCCGCGCGCATCTCCGCGTCGCGCGCAGTGATCTTGAAGAAGCGGTGCAGGTGCGCCGCGCCGCCGACCTTGAATCCCGGCCGCTTGCCGACGCGATTCTTCGTGTACGCCTTCGCGAGCTTCTTCCATCCATCGTGCGCCTCAAAGTACTTTTCGAAGTCGCACGTCGTGTCCTTGCTGGATGGCCTG